GTTTTGCCCCATATTTCCCTTTCTCAGTCCACGTTCGGGGTTTTTAAAGCTGAAAATCTGTTCCTTGAACATTAATTTCGCCCCCCTTCTGCTCCAGTCAGGTGGGAACCAGCTCAGGGAGCGCGTTTGCCAAGTTTGACCAGCCCTTGGACGCATCAGCTTGAGAAAACTTTCGTATTTGACCAGGTGGAACATTTCTTGCACAAACCGACAAGACGTAACAACCAGTTCAACACATTTACCACACCCGTTGCTGTCAAGATTGGTTTTGTGGCATGGGCAGTCCCTTTGACATTCATGGTATTTATGGCATGTAAAGGTTTCTAGAAACCGAGGGGGTGTGAAACCCCCCCCCCCCCTCCCGTCTTCTCTACCCTCCTCTGCTCTGCTCTGCTCTGCTCTGCTCTGCTCTGCTCCTCTTCTCCTGCCTCCTTGCTGGTCGTCCTTGTCTGGCACAAAATGACAAGAGCAGGCACTGGCCCACAGTTGCAAGTCTGATCTGGGAGAGCAGAAGGCATCACATGGTAGCATGCGCATACACAACTTTCCTCCTCGCCCTCTCACTTGCTCCCTCCTTCCTCTCCTTCTCTCCCCCTATCACTCTCACTTCCTCTCCCCTCCCTCTCTGCCTTCTCCGCCACGTCCCCCTCCTCCTCCCTCTCGCTTCTTCCCTCCCTCTCTTCTGACTTTGCTCTTTCAGGCTGGCCTGAACGTGTCTCTCCAGCATCACTTCGAGCCGAAGCTCAACACAACTTACTTCCTTCAGCTTGTACTTGTGAACTTGTAGAGTTATGTATTGACTCGTCTTATCTAGATCGGCACCAAGATGACATTTCTCGTCATGTTCGAAGGAGCTCGTCGCAAAGCCGGCAATGGGTATGTACTTCATAGTCCTCTGCTACTCCAAGCTTTCTCCACCTCATGTACCTCCCTTCTGCGCTCCTCGTTTCTTCCTCTCCTGCCTTGTTACCTCCTTCCTCCTCGCTGATCGTCTTCTTTTCAACTCATCCGTCTCATGCCCTCCTCCTCCTCCTCCGATATCCTCTGTCTCTCTGTCACGGCTGACAACCCTTTGCTGCACCTTTAGAGCTGTCACGCGCTTTATCAGCTTTGTTGTCGAAAGTTTGAACTGTCAGAACATCATCACGATGATGAAACCTCCTCTCGATTGATCCACAAGATTCGTCGGTACAATCCCTTCACTTGTTGTACTTTTATGTCCCTCTCCACTTTTAAATGCCTTTTTCACCTCCGCATTCCTCGTTCTAGTTTCTTGCTATATTATGGTCCTCACCCTTCTCCTCCTCATCATCATTACCCGCCTCCTCCTCCTCATTATCACTATCATCCTCCTCCTCCTCCTCCTCCTCCTCATCATCATCATCATCATCATCATCATCATCATTTTCCTCCTCCTCCTCCTCCTCCTCCTCCTCCTTTCCTCCTCCTCCTCCTCCTCCTCTTCATTCTCCTTCTTATTATCCTCTTTCCAATTTTGCCCTTTGAGACGCTTTAACATACGCAAAGACTCCTGTCCATCGTCGTCGTCATCAGACCATTCCTCGTCCCATACATCAACATCCTCCCTCCCCGTCCCTTGCTGCATGCCTGCTGTGGTGCTCTCTGCAAGGATTTAAAATGAACTTTTAAAAACTACCAATAGATATGGTTAACTAAACATTTAGTGGATCGATTTCCAATTTTAGAGGCGACCCTACAACAAGCAGTCACTGCCGTTTTCATGTGGGTGGGGTGGTGCGTGGGGAAGGGAGGGGTGGTAAAGAAGTTTGCGAAACCCCTGGAGTGAAATCGGTAAGGAGGGCGGATGGAAAAACGGGGGATGCGAAATGATACAGCTGATGAAAATAGAACGATGGGAGGAGATGCGATAGGCGAAGAAACATGAGCGATGGCTAGGACTGGACAGCAGCATCCGAGACTGGAAGATACATCCTTGGCACCAACAACAAAGGCTCCTCAAGAAAGGTTGAACGCGGGCAGCAACCGTTCCTATCAATATGAGCATCCAAGCAAACGCCATGCTATCCCTGTGCTTGTTGCTGACGGTGAGGACTGGGCTCGCGGCAGAAGGAACGTTTGTGATAGGCATGATGTCTCCTGTCGTCCCTACAGGATGGGGCGGCTTCGTCCCCCCCAACTTCCAGCGAGCAGCCACGGCCTTGATCATGGCGGTCCACCATGTGAACGAGCGGAATGATGCAATCGTCAAGAACGCCAAGAGCTTGCTGCCTGCCAACTTCAAGCTGCACTACAAGTTTGCCGACACTCACTTCACAACGCCTGTGAGACTCTCTCTCCTTGCAGTGCGACCCATGTCTTGATGCCTGACCTCTCCTGCTAGGGTGCCGTACAGGACCTGCTGCGCTGGCGGAGCGAGGAGGGGTATTCCGGGTACACGCTGAGCTCGTGCAGTGTGAACAACGCAAGCACGTCGAGCATGGTGCTGCAGAAGTATGAAGCAGCTTCGAGTGAGAAGACAGCCGCCATTATCGGCCCGATGCGAAGCGAAGGGTCGCAGACGATCGCGGTGCTGGCGGGGCTGGCCAACACTCCCACGCTGAGCTTCGGAGCCACTTCGACCACGCTGAGCGACAAGATCAGGTTTCCTCTCTTCTCTCGCACCTGCCCGACGGCTGCCATCAACGCCTTGGCGATGGTGAACCTGATGGTTCACTTCAACTGGCGGACCTGCGGCGTGCTGTACGTGAACAACGCCTACGGAAACCCTTTCATCTCAGACTTCTTTCGGTACACCAGCCTCAAGGGCATCAGCATCATAGCAAACCAGAAGTTCACAGATCAAGACTCCGTGTCGCTGCGAGCTGCCGTCAAGACGCTCAAGGAGTCAGGGGCTAGAATCTTCGTCTACATCGCGCTGGGGTCGGTGAACCTGCAGAACATTCTGACAGCAGCAGCAGAAGAAGGCATCACAGGAGTGGATGGGTACGCTTGGCTCACGGCAGATCAGAACAACCCTGAAGCCGACATTCAGAGCATGGCAGGAGACCTGGGCAAGCTGAGGCGCTTCTACTCTGGTTGGTTGAGTGTTGTTCTTGACATGATCTACGGAGACCTGGCGTCAAGCTGCTTCAACTACTACTCGAAAGTAGACCCTCGGACGTACTACTACCCGACCGTCAACATGTCTGCCAAGGTTTACAAGCAGCCATGCACCCAGTACGACGCGTTAGGGTACGACGCCGTGTGGGCCATCGCCATCGGGCTGGCAAACATGAAGCCTGACATGTCGGACCTCAACACTCAGATCCGGCTCGCGAACTTCTACGGGGCATCTGGAGATGTAGACTTTGACTTGAGCACGGGCGACAGGTCGGCCAAGGGAGTGCATGCCGTGCTCCAGAACGTTCAGCCAGTGACCCTGACAGCGAGCAACCTGGACTGGAACAAGACGACTTTGAGCTTCGTGGAGATCGGAGTCTGGGAGAACACTACGGGTGAGGGGGATAGCTGGAGGGGATGACGCGCAAGTGACGGGCTGCTGTGACAGGCTACACCAAGGGCACGGCTGACTCCATCTATTGGCCTGGAGGACGAATCTCCCTCGACCCGCCACCTGACACTGTAACGAGGTGATTGCTTGCAGCCTTTTCGAGGAGCTGTCGGTGATGACGGTGATGTTATGTTTACAGCGGGTCGACGTATCTGTACGTCGCCATCATCGTGCCGTGTGTGAGTGTCTTGTGCATCTGCTCATGCCTGCTGGTCTACGCCTTGTGGCTGAGGTCGCGGGATGACGCGGGGAACAAGCGGCTGACGAAGAAGATTGCCGAGCTGCGGGAGACTCTGCGTATCACGAGATCCAACGGGTTCTACCTGAGCCAGGAGAAACTCCCTCGGTCAGCCAAGCTGGACTCGGTGGTGATCATCCAACGGGTGCACATGGAGGCAGCAGCCAAGTTGGCTCTGTGGGAAGACTTTGACGGCCACTACTTCGACGCTTTCTGCGTCAGCCTGCAGAGCTTTGAGAGCCTCGACACCTTCAGCGTCAACTTTGCGATGCCAGAGGAGATGAAGAAGTTGCCCTACCAGAAACTGCGGGAGTGGCTGGTCAAGGATGTCATACAGCCGCTGCTGCAGCCAGACCAGGATTACAGTCTCATGATGAACCCGCAGCCCGTTGCGAGGAAGAGAACGGGCTCGAACGTAAGCTTCACCGTCGCTTCAGAGATCAACGGACACATTCCGATCAACGTGTACCACCAGGACCTTCGCTTCGAGTATTTCCAGAAGAGAATATGCAAGCTGAGGGTCCTGAAGGAGGACTCGTGCTCGCTGTTCAATGAGGTGAAGGCGCTGTCTCAGACGCTGATGAATCAGATCGTTCCTCTCTGCGACGCGAGGCTGCTGGAAATCGCCAAGGAGAGGAGGGGAGAGGAGCTCATCGCTTGGCGCTGGGAATCAAACGCCCATCACGCCAGCAGTACTTCAGTCGATGTGATCCGAGAGAACGGGTCTAGCCTGCTCTTGCCTTGCTTACCAGGGAGGTCTGACTGTAGTGGCAGAGACTATCCCATCTACGCCAAGTCTGCTCCTGAGCCCCGTCACTCCCGTCCTGATCGACAAGACCACGAGACGGTGACTCCTCCCCTGCCCTCCTCCCCACATTCCCCCACACCCGACCTGCTCCTCCATGTGCTGCTGGTCCTCCTCCACAACCTCCTCGTCTTGCATGCTCGTCTCTTGCTGCTGCTGACTGACTGAGACGTGCAGGTGCAAGCGATCCGTCACACGGCCATCGACGCTGTTGAGGACAAGCACGAGAAGGACAGCACCCTCTTCTCCTTCTGCCCTCTGCCCCAGGAGAACGTCTTTGTGGCGCAGCTCGCGCGCAGGGCTGCCCTCCTCAACCATGACTTCAGGTCCAAGATCATCGAGATCCTCAGCAGCAAGGTGTCGCCCGAAGCTGCCAAGAGAGACACGCACGATGGCTCTGAGAGCTCCGTCGTCGGCTCCTTCGACTGCTCCTTCGAGGAGGGCGTGGGGACTGTGGAGCTGCACACGGCTGCGGTCAAGTCGGAGACCAGGATGCAGGAGAAGCTCAGAAAGTATATGCCTCCTCATCCTCGAGGCCGCTGGCCGTACTCTGCCAACATCCTCGACCCCGTCCGCGTCTCCATCGTGTGCTCGGGCCCCAGCCACGTGCTGCAGGTGCTTAGGTGGTTCGTGGAGGAGGAGAGCGTGACGGGGCTGGGCGTCTGCCGGGTGAAGAACAAGTTCTCGCTGCCGGAGTCGATGGTGTCGGATGGGTACAGGGACGTGTCGCTTGCCGTTCACTTCTCCATCCCCGGAGGACTCTCCATCATCGGCGAAATTCAGATCCATGACAACGCCCTGCACCAGCTGAAGCTCAAGGTGAGAAACCGAGTTGACTTGTTCTCACGTGAGACGGTCAGCGAGACGTGACCATGGCTGATGTTGGCGGCAGATGCACAAACTGTACAAGATCAAGAGGGCAAACGCGCCCAATATGATCTGACTCTGCCCTTAACGGCCAGCTGAAGGCTCCTGGCGCGGCGCTCTCCGAGGCTCCGAGCCAGCCTAGCCTCGGAGTGTCCTTCAGTTGGGGTCCGGGCCCGGGCACACTCACACGGTGCGGCCTGCCAGCCTGAGCCTCGGCCGATCGCCGTCGGAGTCCGAGCGGCCGCGGTCGCCGGGACTCTCAGTGTCGGAGCTGCTCAGTAAATCACTGTGAAGTTGTTGTACGGTAAGTCATCATCGGATCATTCGCGCGACTCGGCGAGGTACTCAGTCCGATCTTCCGAGTCCCGTCGGCGGCGGCCGCCCCGCGGGGTCCGACCGGGGCCCCGCACGGGTGACTGAAAATGCCGCAAGTTTCAAAATTTTTTCAAAGTTATGTTAAAAATCAGTACCGACTCGCTCTGTATCGTCGGCAAGTTAGTGTCACGGGTCGCGCTAAGGTCTAAAGTGGTGACCCGGAAGGTCACTACGGAGTCACTGCGGCTGCCCGGGCAGTGGCCGCGCCGGGCGGGCCAGCTGGCCCGGCCCCCCGGGCCCGGCAAAGTCCGGGCCCGGGCCGGCTCAGTGTGACTCCCGAAATCGTTGATGAGGGGGGCTCGGTGGCTCTGAGGCCATGGATATGAAGCATGGCAGGGCCAAGGCCAGAACAAAGCAAGCGAAGGGGAGGGGAGAGGAGAAGGAAGTGTAAGGGGTGTTCAAACTGAACCTTTGTAAGTCCCTATCCTAGAGACAGTTTGGAATTTGCAGGGACAGAACACCCGGCACGATCCCCAAGCAAGCAACGGGGACAAAACGAGAAACGAGCGTGCAGAGAAACACGAGAAGAACGGGCAAAAGCTGATTCTGTTCTTCCTTTTCCTTGTATGAGATGATGAACCGATCAGCGCTCTCAGCAGTGAGGGGCATGACCCGACGGCACCTCTCCGCAATCGCGCCCTCATGCAGTATTGCGCACCGCTCTAGCCCAAAGCTGATAGCCCAAGCGCGCGTACAGCATGCAAAAACACTCTATGTGGTCGGGGGGATGTATGGAAACCCACAAGCGCTGGATGCTATCGAGGACATGCTGCAGGAGGAGAGGGGGGACGTTGACGTTCTGTTCAATGGGGATTTCAACTTCTTCAATGCGAACTTGGAGGATCTCGACCTGATCAACAGGAGGATCATGCGGTTTTACTCGGCTACTGCTGGCAACATCGAAATCTCCATCTCCTCAGAAGAGAGGGGGTCGGAAGGATGTGGCTGCGATTATCCCAGCTATGTCTCTAGAGATGTCGTCGCGCGTTCAGACCTCATTGTCAAGAAGCTCGGAGAGGTTGCGGGTAACCTGGACGCTGACGTTCTCTCCTGGCTGAGAGCTCTGAGCCCTTTCGCCAACTACTGCATCGGGGGGGCTCGCGTGGCGATCCTCCATGGCGATCCGCATTCCCTTTCGGGCTGGTCCCTCGCAGTGGAAAACCTGGAGACTTCTTCGGAGGCGTTCCGCCGAAGACACGGCTGTGAAAGTCATCCGACTACAACTTTACGTGGGTCAAACCAACACTGTCCACTCTCTAGCTTGTTCTAGCTGGAGCTGACTGCTACTTTGACCCAGGTGATGCTCATGACTGGATGCAAGCTGCCGATGCTGACATGTTCGCCTGCACACACACGTGCTTGCCGTTCGCGCAGCGCGTCTACGAGGGACCGGAGAGCTTCAAGGCAATCTTCAACAACGGATCTGCTGGGATGGCAAATTTCTCGGGACAACCCTATGGTGCTTTCATGGTCGATCGAGTATCGAAGTTCGCTGACACATCTCAGGGCTTTTGACTCGAATCTCCGAATCTCTGGATATTCCCAAAGGATCGATCTACGGCTGTAAGATAAAAGGTATTACACAAGCTGAGCTTGTTCTCCCATCCTTCAGTATTGGATCTTGATTAGATTCCTGCTCTAGGTAAGCAGGGCGAGGCGCGAGTGGATTGCCTGCCTGTTCAGTTTCATCACAAAGAATTTGTTGAGTGGTGCAAAACTGTTGACTTTATACCTCAAAGGAAGCCTAACAAAGCGTTATTTGCAAAGGTTTTTGAAGACATGGCCTAGTGGCAGTCCAGCGCATACGAGCTACTTCACACGTGAGCTGCGTTTCCCTCATCTTCTGATGACATGAGCTGTGCAGGAATCATGCATGGGCCAACCAACTACACCATTACAGATGCTAACAGGCTGTGATGATGTATATCAATTCAACTGCAGAGAACTGTAAGAAGAGACTAGATCAAAAGCATTTATCACATGAGGCGTCACTAAACTTAGAGCTACGTCAACAGATCAACATCAGCCACATTGCTTGATACATGTCACAAACGCTCTATTTCATTTCGATTGGAAATAATGGATAAGATTGCATGATTCTATTTAGTTGAAGACAACAGGTGGGTTGGCGGCGGTGAGAAATCCGTTGGCAGCGTCCTGGATAGCCTTGGCAGCGGCAAGGACCTCCTCGGACTTTCCAGCCTTGGCAGCAGAGGACACAGCCTCGATCCCCTTGTTCACAGATTCGACATAAGAGTAGAGAGCAGAGCCGGAAGCGGGGGCAAGCTTCTCGTTGAACTTGGGGAGGCCAAGGCCTCCAGCGGCCTTGGCGCCGTTGACATCGCGGAGGGCGTACTGCTCCATGGCATCCTTGAGAGGGCTAAGGTAAAGAGCACTGTAGCGGAGAACGTAGTCCTTATCGAACTTGGGCTTCTTTCCGCTGTTCATCTTCTCAATAGCAGCAACGAGGACTGGAACCTTGTTGGCGGCGACAGTGATCTTGCCTGCAAGGACAGCCTTCTGCTTGTCAAGGATGGAGGCAGCCTGAGTCATGGGCTGGCATCCCTTGTCAGCGGATCCGTTGCAGAGCTTGTCCCTGTTAGCATCGTTCTTTGGGAAGCCAGTGTTAGGATCGAAAGAAGCAGCACCAGCGGCGAGGGGAGCACCAACAGCGATGCTCACACCAACAGTCGCAGCTCCGCTGAGGAGATCCTTGCGGGAAACCTGCGCCTGGGGCTCAACCATCCTGAGGGAGGAGAGGGTGGGAGTGCTGAAGGCCTCAGCAGAGGCGACGAGCATAGCAGCGGCAGCGGCGGTGCGGAGCATGGTCAGAGCGGCGAGAGTTGCAAGGGGGTGGGGGTCCTCTATTACCACCAGGATCGCACACCCTACCCTCACAAAAATTGAGCCTTGTGGGGGTGGGGGGACACCTAAAATTTTGATTCCGGTGGTTATTTTATGTTTAATATTGTAGCATTTGGACTCTGAATAATCTACAATAATGAAATTTACTAATTAATATTCAACATTTAGTGAAATTAGAGTTCCCCCACACCAAGAATCGTTGTACCGTCGCTAGAGTGCAAATGTTACGGGTTTGGACTGCTGTAAGAGCCGGAGGAGGGGTCCTCCTTATTGCCGACGAGGGTCCCCATTCGCTTTCATACTACCCGTCCTACTGACTACTCAATCATCGGTACCGGACTACTAGTAACCCCACCACCTAAGAGACCGCACCCATCACAAACAACCCACCCATTTTGTTGATTCACACATAAAATCACCACCAGAATATATTAGTACCACCCACCCCTCTTAGAAGAATGCCACAACACTAAAAGCATGACCACCCCCTCAGGAGAATGTTACACCCTCCACCCTCGCCGGCAATCAACTATGATGACCCCACCCTTTATTACCCCCACCCCCCTACACACCTTCCTTTGAGGTCGGTCTCTGAACTTACCCCTTTCTTTGAGCCAATCCACCCCCGCGGAACCAACTACGATCATGAGAAACAAACCCCTCCTGATAACCCCTACCCTTGTTTGTGTATCATGACCCCACCCAGGTCATGTCGTATCCCCATCCCCACATGAGCCCATGCCAGCTTGTGACGTACTAAAACGTCCGGTCACCCAACCCGGACGATCGGATGTGACACTACTGACCCGGTGCCGCCGCAGCGGGGCCCGGCAATGCCGGCCGGGCCGCCGCTCCCCGGAAGCGGCGCATTGAACTTGAACCGCCAAGTTTGACTCGGAATCTTTAATCGGTTGAAAAGCCTTGACTCGGACTCTGTGAGCGCCGCGCTCACTCAGTCGGCCGCTCAGCTACTGAGCAGACTGACTCCCGATGACCGTGACTGGCCGCTGGCCGGGCCGCACTGCACTCAGGTCCGCGCCGCGGGCGCAGTGACGCCTCAGTGTGACGGTCGGCGGCGAGTGCCGGCGAGCCCGGGCCGCCGCTGGCCCGGGGCTTCACACTGCCCGATCACTGAATCATTACTAGCGGCTATCGGAATCATCAGCGGCAACCGCGGCCCGCCCATGCTCGGAATCGGATGGCAGGCGGGCAGAGCACCGGGTGAGGCTGACCGTACCGACGGTCGAGTCCGGCGTCTGAGTCTGTGACTGCGCCGGGCCACACTGAACGGTGCCGCAATTGCACTGCGGCAGCGGGGCCGGGCGGTCGGCCTGGGCCGGCGAGTCTCAGAGTCAGGCTGCCAGGCTGCCAGTAACTAAGAGTCTGATCTGCTCGGTCCACTGCCAAGACTCACTGGCAGTAACTCATGATCAGCCCAGCCCAGTCAGTCACAGTGCCAAGTTCATATATCTACTCAGTTGAGTCTTGCTTCAACCGTACTGCCTGCATGACACCTGAGGTGCTGGCGAGGTAAGAAGAGTCCGACAGTCCCTTCTCCTTGTCCCTCATACACTCTTGCGGGCACCTAGTGTTGAACGGAGGTATTCAAAAAAAAAAAAAAAAAAAGCGCTTTGGCTGGCGTACTTGCTCTCTTACTGCGCTATCAGTGTCAGTGCCTCATCGTCCTGCGCATGAAAGATGAGGGCGCTCGATCAAGATCTCCGTGATGCTGATGCAAGAATGTAGAGCAAAGCGTCGTCAGCAACAGGCAGAGAAGGAGTGGCTCAATATCAGCCGAGAACATCTCGCTAAGGATACTTGTCAAGCAGAGTGTCACTATCCGATAGCGTAATGATGTTTTGTTTCTGACTGACATCTCTATTCATGTTATGAACTGGCCATCTCTCAAAATTCTCAACTATCAACTTTACAGACATCGTCTTTCCTGCGACTGACAACATCTCTACCTATCAATTATAACAAGATTATGTGCGATGTGAGTACTGCTGTGAACGAGCAATCTATCCCTTCCGCGATTTTGCTCGCAATCGCTTTCACGAAATTCCATCCTGAAACTTTTGTCGAGCTTGATTTCATTCACAAGTCTCAGCACTTTTGATACCTGCAACCTATGATCACTGCAGTTGGGGTCAGACGAGAACGTATGTGCACCCTAACGTGCAGCAGCAACAGATGACAGACGATGATTTTTCTCGACGGAATAGAGATATAAAGCATTCAAGAACACCCTTGAAATTTTGTTCCCTGCATAACCTGGTTGAGGCATGTTCACACCCCTGTCTTTTGTGGATTCTTGATTTATTTGTATAGTACAATCAAAACTACTTGATCCTCCCCATCCATATGTACACTACCTGTCACTACCCTCTACCTGCTGACTGGTCTCCCTGTCCTCGCCCATCACAGCACCTGCGGCCTCCCCCGCGCGTCTTTGATTCTCCGGTGCTCCAGGATCATCGAGATGCTGGCGCGCAGGGCCGCGATCTGCTTGGCGCGGCTGATAGGAGCGTATCCGGTCGAGTGAGCTCTCGCTGTGAGGGCGGGTGCGAGGCGATCTGTCGGGGGGAGTGATGAGGACGAGGGAGGAGAGCAGGAGGGGGCATGGCGTCGAGGAGCACGTAGGAAGTGCTGGGAGGGGGGAGGGGGGACGGGGGAGGGGAAGGGCATGGGGCAGCGGTCATGGAGATGAGTACGGAAGGAGTATGGGACCGTGAAGGCATTTGAAGACTTTACCACGTGACATGGAAGGTTCTAGACTGCGTTGGAGGCAGATACGCGATGGTCATCATGAAGAGGTCAGAGCCGAATGTCATACGGTCGTATCTTCAAGGGTTCAACTTGGAACCGTGTAGGCTGATTATCCCACGTGACAACGGGGGAAAGGCTGACGTGGGGCTGTTGTAAAGTACAATCACAGTCACTTGTGGTCATCGTGTCGCCTCAAGAGGTCAGAGCCAACTGGAGGAGCTTCGATTCCCCGGGTTACTCCCATGTCATGTCGCTGACCTTGTAACCTTCCAGACAATTCTATATCACACGCTAGCTGTAAAATGAAGATCCGCCCGTTGCCCCTAGAAGTACGGGAAGTGTCCCAAACTTTGTTGCTACAGCAGATCGCCGTGTCCATGACCGCTGCCCCATGCCCTTCCCCGTCCCCCCTCCCCCCTCCCCCCTCCCAGCACTTCCTACGTGCTCCTCGACGCCATGCCCCCTCCTGCTCTCCTCCCTCGTCCTCATCACTCCCCCCGACAGATCGCCTCGCACCCGCCCTCACAGCGAGAGCTCACTCGACCGGGTACGCTCCTATCAGCCGCGCCAAGCAGATCGCGGCCCTGCGCGCCAGCATCTCGATGATCCTGGAGCACCGGAGAATCAAAGACGCGCGGGGGAGGCCGCAGGTGCTGTGATGGGCGAGGACGAGGCAGTCAGCTTGTACAATACGAATACAACAATAGCAAGTAGCTCTTCGTCCAACACAAGGTACCAAGCATCTACTTGATGCTACTTCACTACGGTCTTCTTCCTGGATGGTGATGACCTGCTTGGATGTCGCGTGTTGATTGTCGCAGTGGACTCCTTGGACGTTCAAAATCTTCACAGCTCAAAATGTTGGCAAGACTCCGAGCTACTAGTGTACATCTGGCAATGAAATGGCCACTCCAGTCTGACTCGAGGATGAAAGCGGAGCTTGTTTGGCCCTTATTTTCAAGTGCAAAGCTGCAAGGGAGTTCACGAATCAGTCATGGCATTGAGCGTGAGCTCAGGCTCGGTAGGAGAGGTAGCATAGACATGCATGGGGTCAGCGACGTGCTCAAGCATATGCCACTAGCGCTTGAGACGCATGACTGTGTCGGGGGGGTCACACAACGCTAGTAGATCGAGCTGCTGTATACCAAACACAGACATCAACGACACTACGAGCAAAGTCAGGACCAGAAAAGGCAAAGAATCAGAAGATGAACGTCTCTACCTTTGCTTGGGGTAGACTACGTTCGAATACCACTGGAGACAGACTACGCTCAAACACCACGCTTGGTTCACACGCAAGGGGAAGGAACTTCCGGAGATCCAACGCTGATGACGCGTCCGGTTGAAAAGAGAGTATCCGTAGGTATATCCTTGACCCCGGAACGGATACAACACTCGCTATGCGTCGGGATCGGACGGAGGAGTCGGGAAATGCAATTGTGGGTTGAAGAGAGGGTTGGCTCTTTATGATTGCTGTATCATATAAAGATTACAATGTAACTTGATGATCCGTTGACGCCGGCTGACTGGCAGCCAGTGTTTGCGGCGTAGGAGGCTGACAGTGACCGTATCGGACTTGAAGCTTTCAAAAGTCACTGACTCAGTGAGTTTCATACGCGGCAGGCTGAAGTGTGACAGTGCATCCCACTGACGGTAGCACTGCCGGCGCCGCGCTCGCGCGGGCGCGGCTCGCGGGCCGGCGCCGGCCCGCCGGGCCTGCCAGTGCGCCGCTGAAATGCCTCCAAGTTAGGTTTCGAAGCTTCAAATGTGGTTTCAAACTAGCGAGCGAAAGTATGCCGCAGGCAGCCTTGAGATGCAATGGAGAGGTCGACAGAGATCGGAAGAGAGGAAGAAGAGGAGGCAGAGAGACGCTAGCGAGGAATGCAGTCTCGGGGGAGAACATGCACGTACGATGAGTGATCGCAATGGCAGAACGGGAAAGATGCCAGTTGGGCGACGGGAGCTTGAGCGGTGGGCAGCGGCACAAGAAGCCAAGAAGAAAGATTCGGGAGGACTTACTGGTAACATATCGCAGTTTTGCTCTTATGTACATGTTCCGTGCTCACTCTCATCTACCATTAAACACCAGGCGTGTTCCGTTCGGCTCATTCCAACGGGAACCTAAACCTAGCAGACAGGAATCTCGATTCTGTGAGGGTTGCTTGTGGGAGTGCTAGTCTGTTCTGACACAGGATCAGGTCCCCGAGCTGCTGTTGTCTTGGTCTGCTCCCATAGGAGACGAGAACTGGTAACTCCCTGCTCGCAAAGTGTCTCGTCAGCCGGGCATCGCATGACGTCATCGCAGGTGGGAGGTGTCGGAACTCAAGAAGCTGGATTTGAGCTTGAATGCTCTTTCGAACCTCCCTGATGACTTGTTTGCAAGCTTCAGCTTGCTGCAGGTAGCATGCTGACAGTTTTGGTTGTGCAACTGACGAGGTGTGTTCGAAATAAGACGCTTCACGTTGCCAACAACAAGCTCCAAACCCTCCCTCCATCGCTGACCAGTTGTCCTGAGCTATCGAAACTCAACATCCAACACAACCAGGTTAGCTGAGTTGCTTCTTTCACTGTGAATGACACTTGAATCGAACAAGTTTGCAACATTGCCAGGATTCGTCGGCCATCTCTCCTGCCTTTCTTCTCTACAAGTTGACCACAACGCCATTCACACCCTCCCAGAGGAGATTGGCTTGTTGCACAACCTCGACACCTTCACTTGCTCAAACAATCAGCTGCAGCAGCTCCCGTCTTCTCTTGGGCACCTCACATCTCTCACCTTCTTGAACATGTCCTCAAACAGAATCGAAGCAATCCCTGGGACAGTCGGAAACTTGCTGTCATTAACGTCCTTGGAGGCCAGTCATAACCTGCTGCAAAGCCTCCCGGACGGTCTGCGCAATCTGTCCAATCTCACGCGACTGGACGTAAGGGAAAACTGTCTCACGTCGGCTACAAGCCTGCCGCATGCCCCCAGAATGTCGGAGCTGCTCCTTGGGTTCAACAAGATTCAAACTTTCCCGCCAAATCTGGGGGACCGTCTGAAGTCGTTGAGGTGGGTGCCTTTGTGTTAGCGGCCTCTTTGTTTGGTATGAATGCGAATGTTGTATGGAAGACGGGGTGTTTGTCGAAGACTTGAAGGGCAAGCGCACATAACTTGTTATTGTGAACCATGGATGTTGACTTGTGATGGCAATGATGATAAGGAAATTGTCATTTCTGTGACATAGATCAGCTCACATTGTCTGTGGCAGCGTCTTAGACATACGAGATAACGCAATCTCCAATCTCGAAGCATCTGATCTAACAGGACTGAAGGTTAGCATGTTGGTCGACAACCTCGGTGCGCCCTCTGACATTGACATGAAGCTGAAAATGCTCGACGTGCGAAACAATGAGATCAAGATGGTCCCGCCCGAGCTCGGGCTGATGACAACTCTCACCAGCATCTTGCTGGACGGGAATCCTCTCAAGACGATGAGGAGGTGTGATGAGAGCGGAGGGTTCAAGTTTGAAACCATTGCTAGCCAGCAACTCTAACTCCTGAGTTCCTACTTGCAGAACAATCATCACTGGGACAGCTCGTGAGATCTTGGAGTACCTTAGAAGTCGGATACAGCAGAATCCTGAAGAGGTTCGTTGCAGCTGTAATGATCGTCCTGCTTGCCCTCTCAACTGCTTTCATAAGACGGCCTTGACAACATGTGTACAGGATGTTCCTACATCTGGCTTGACTAGAGATGTTGCTATGACAATCAGGAGCTCGGTGGGAAATGGCCTGTTGTGTCTCAAGGTGGAGCTGTCGCTGTTCGCGCTGTTCTTCATGTTTGACATTTTTTGTTGTTCTCAGGGTTTGCAATTGCAAGATTTTCCTTACGATTGTTTCAACCTCAGCGATTCTCTCAAGGTCGACTGTTGCTTGACGATGCTACGACTGACATGTTGCAGTCGCTGGATTTCTCTGACAACAATCTCGAGAGTCTGAGTGAACGATGCCTTTCATGGACTAACCTTCATACCATCAATCTCGCGTAATGCTCGCTTGCGCTCTTGCTGGGTTTGACTGACTCGTGTCGTTCTTGATGGTGCAGAAACAATCAGTTGAGCAGAACAGAACAAGCTTCTTACCACGTCTTGTCCAACTTGCCCAATTTGACTAGCATAAATCTGCAGGTCAAATTTCTGTGTCGGTAAGACCTTTGACTGACGTCGGTTGATCGGCAGAGGAACGGACTGATGGAATTTCCTTGTTGTCTTGCAAACCTCAACTCCATCGAAATTCTTGATTTGAGTCAAAACAGTGAGACCTTGCCTCTGATCCTCCTCTTCACCTCACTCATGCGCTTTCATCTAAGTTGTTGACACTTTCTACTTGATACTATTCTCTTCCTGCTCCTGCTCCTCCTGCTCCTGCTCCTGCTCCTTCTCCTGCTCCTCCTTCTCCTCCTCCTCCTGCTTCTGCTCCTCCTCCTCCTCCTGCTGCTGCTGCTGCTGCTCCTCCTCCTCCTGCCCCTGTCCCTGTCCCCGTTCCTCTCCCTCATCTTGCCCGCAGGAATTTCTTGCATCCCGTCAGGAGTTTTCGCATCTTTCAGAAAGCTTCATACCATGTTCATCTCCTTCAACAGGCAGACCCTCCTCCTCTCCTTCACCTCCTAACAGCAACATGAAGGCTGACTGCCGTCCCTGAGGACCTTCACTTCGCCACATCCCTCGTCAACCTTGACATGAGCAACAATCAGATCGAGGTTGGTTGAGCCAGACCATCGTTTGCATTCGATCCCTCCGTCACCTCCTCTCTCCTGCATGTTCCCTGCTCCCTGCTTCTATTTGCCTGGTCTTCTCGCTGTACTTCTCTTACCATTGACTATCCTCCCCCAACATTGTCTGATCTTTGTTGGTTCTCAACAAGTATCAAAATTATTCCTCTCTTCTTATCATCAACATCGTCGATCTTCTCCATTCTTATCTCCGGTCCTCATCATCGTTTTCCTCCTCACACTTCTGTGTCGACCTGCAAGTTTGTTCTTCATGACAGATTCGCAGTCTCTGCCGACAACTTTGATCTACATGTCCCGCCTCTCATCGCTCAACGTCGAGAACAACTCTCTCACAAGCATGGATCCTCTGATAGGTAACGCAAACACAGACCTGTTCCTCCCCCAAACCCACCCCCCTGTTTCCCGTATCCCCTCCTCCTCCTCCTCCTCCTCCTCCTCCTCCTCCTCGTTCCTTTCTTGATCTTCATCATACCCTGCTGCAAAATCTCGCCTCTCGACACGTTCTCTCCTTCCTCTCATCCCCGTCGTCCTTTCTCAGCTGCTCTCTCCTCTTGCTCATGAAATCTTCTCCCCACTCACTTGCGACCTTCAGGACTCCTGCCTCTCCGCGCTCTCATAGTAGACGGCAACCCCCTCAAGTACATCCGGACAGCAATTATCCAGGTTCCTGCTGCTGCTGCTGCTGCTGCTGCTGCTGCTGCTTCTGCTTCTGCTGCTGCTGCTGCTGCTGCTGCTGCTGCTGCTGCTGCTGCTGCTGCTGCTGCTGCTGCTGCTGCTGCTGCTGCTGCTGCTGCTGCTGCTGCTGCTGCTGCTGCTGCTGCTGCTGCTGCTGCTGCTGCTGCTGCTGCTGCTGCTGCTGCTGCTGCTGCTGCTGCTGCTGCTGCTGCTGCTGCTGCTGCTGCTGCTGCTGCTGCTGCTTCTCCTTCTCTTGCTTCTCCTTCTCCTTCTCCTGCTCCGGCTCCCCCGACTCTTGCTGCACCTGTTGCTCCTCATCTATCAGCAGGGAGGAACTGATCGCATCTTGTCATACCTGCGAGACAAAATACCAGCAAACCAGACGCTTCCTCCTCGTCCCCCGCACCCTGACTCCACGAGGGAGGAAGAGACGGTGGGTTTGAGGAGGGGAGACGTGCGGGAGGAGGAGGAAGAAAACTTGAGGTGAACCAGACGATCCTTTGTCGTCCCGATGACTCTGAGGTGTTTTGATGATGCAGGACACGCAAGATCACTCCTCCAACTGCTACCAGCTCGCATGCGCCAAGACGAGGGCATGTGCTAGAGCAAGGGGCGCAGCAGCAGCAGCAGCAGCAGCAGCAGCAGCAGCAGCAGCAGCAGCAGCAGCAGCAGCAGCAGCAGCAGCAAGAAGAATCGGCGCAGCATCAGCAACAAAGGCAGGAGGGGCCAACAGCCAGCGATGACGAGCTGAGGGCGAAGATCGAAGCTTGCAATGCGGCGATTTCCTCGTATGAGGTATTGGAGGAAGGAGAAAGAGCAGGAGAGGGAGGAGTAGGAGCAGGAGTAGAAAACGCAGAAGGGGAAGAGGGAGGAGGAGGAGGAGGCGAGGAAGAGGAAGAGGGAGGAGGAGATGGTAGAGGAGAAGAAGGAGGAAGAGTAGGAGGAGTAGGAGGAGTGGAAGGGAAAGGGGGAGAGCGAAGGGGGGG